GTGCATATGCGCTGTTAATAAAAAAAGGAAAGGGAATTCGAAGTAAAAGAAACGATGAAAAAATTCTTTAAGAAGTACTTACTAGGGGTATACGTATTCGTCAGGAAATAAGAGATAATTCGTTAAAGCTCGTAAAAAGTTCTACGAGAACTACTTATTGCCTTCGGAAGTTTTTGTCGCGGAGAGAAATTTAGAAAATATATGTTCTAATTAAGGAAAATATTTTCTTTCCTAACCTATATGAAGATGATGCTTATGGACATGTGTTATCTTTATTGATGCAAAAGATGTTCTTTTCATTAATATAATAGGCTATAACTTATTAACCTGTTCAAGAAATTAAAAGTAGGTTTTTATAAAAATATGTTTTTATGTAACACTTATATTGCCGAAAATATTTAGAATTATAATCATAACTTATTCATATTTAATCAGAAATATTAATAATTTGTTCAATAAACAATGAAAGAAATAGAACGATTGAGAAACCTATAAAAATTGTTATTATATAGCTTTTTGAAAAATGAAACGTTCTATCACTGCATTAATCGTAATATCCATGACAAGATAAATAAAGTTGAAGAAAAATGATATCGTAAAAATATAATACATTTTCACTATAATAAACAATTTAATCAAGCAGTTTCCTTTCGATATCATATTTCTCTTCAATGACAGTAAGCCTAAAATCTCTAGCTATATTTTATGGTTAATACTATTAAATCTTAGACTATATAATCTTTTTGCAGTAGAATGTAGTATAAATACAAAAATAATGCCGATGATTAGTTATCTTCTGATTAAATTGTTATTTGTTTTTGAAATAATATCAATCTTGTGATCAATCTGTATCATTCAAAAATTGCGCTCGTTGCATTTATTTTGTTGGGTAAAACAAATAGTATGCCCTCTGTCACTAAAGGTCAGTTTATAATTATTCGTATTCCATAAATACTTACATTATTTTAAACAAAGAGAAACTTATAAAGAGTTTCCATTCTAATATTAGAGCATATAAATAGGCGACGCGTTTTATTCAAATGGCAACACTTACTCAAACGTTTCAGCACCACGCAACGGCAAAAAGCTTAACTACCGGATAGATTGATGAGTTAATCGCTTTTTATTCTTTTATTTTTAATTGAATTTATTAAATTTACTGTAATCATTTGGTTATTTGTTTCAGTTTAGATATATAAGAGACTTAGATGTTAATTTTTTAAGTATGTTAAGTATGTAAATAAAGACAAAAGTACATTTTGCCAAGAAGATTTAGAATTTATTTTTAATATTTTAAATTCTAATTACTTTTTTGTTCTTAACTTTATTTCAATAATAAATAAAATACGTATTTATATGGATGACATGCACTATTATTACTTTTCAACTTATAACAGAGTAAGTAAGAAAAAGCTTTATTAATGCTGTTATTTTTTATTTTCTTAGTAAACGGTAGAATTTATTATATGATAGAATTAAAGAGTGAATAAAATATGACAGAAAAAGTCCTTACGAACACTAGAACTAAAATCTAAGAAAAAAGATAAGAAAAGTTTATGTTTCTACTCAAATGTACAGTGTGAAAAAATTTCAAAACACTTACATAAATTTACGTAATTTTATCTTTATTCGACAGTTTTTTATTGACATAAAAAAAACTCAATTTTAGAACTAATTATGAATCACAGAGAATTATTATTCATTCATATCACAAATGTAATCCTACGGAAATAAACATAATGACAGGTACATTAAATTATAAGTCGTAGCGTGTCAATTATTTAAATATAGTGTGTATCAACTAACCGTCACCTTCAAATGGGGCTTGAGGGCGCAGCGGTCCATTGGACTAGGAGAAACTTTTCGAAAAGCTTCGTGGGGACGTCAGAGAGGATTGTCATATAGGGTTTATTGTTCATGATTTTAACGATTTCTTCGGCAGTTATATTTATTTATTTTTATTCAAAAGTGAAATTCAAAAACAATATATTTTTAAGGATTAAGATTAAACAATGATAAATATTGATAAGGGAAACATTGAGTAAGAACAATTAAACAATGAGTAAAATTTTACTGTGAAAAATTCATCCATTGCTATTGATTCATCATCAACGAGAACGTTAGGTAAGCAGTGATAAATATGATAATGCGAGGAAGAACTCATCCTAACGCTTTCATTGTCAGCTAAAACGTTAGGTACGCAAATATATACAATGATAAATTAGATACAATAAAAAACTCACCCGTTGCTTTTCATTCTAAGCTTGTTCATTAGGTAAGCATAATTAAACAATGAGAAATAAGGTTATACGATGAAAATTCACCAACGTTTCAACGCCTTTATCATCAGCGAAATGTCATGTAAGCAAATATAATCAATGATAAATAAGATTATACGATGAAAAAAAATCATTTGCTGTTTTTGACTCTAAGATTTCATCAATTTTTAACCTTTTGTGGAAAGATGGTTACTCTCAGTCACCAGAAAGTCGCCCAAAGTTTCAGTTCTTTCAACCACCAAAGTAAAGAATTAAAAGTACTTCACTACAGAACAGCACTGTTCATTTTAGTTGATAGGTTTTGGAGATCTATAAAATATATGCCTTACAGTTTTGTGCAGTGATGATTAATATAAATTGACTGATTATATAGATAGAGAGGGGATATAAATCTAGTTGAAATAAACTTTTTGAATAAAATTAATTCAATTACTGCGAAAATGTTACTAAAAGAAAAATACTGCATATAGAATAGTCAAAGAATAAAATTTAAAACAATTTTTGCCAGACTAAGTTGAGTTACATATGAAAAGACAGATTTTGTAAAAATCTCCAATTAAAATTTAAAAAAAAACAAGCATAATTTTTACTTTTTCAAATTAAGTATTTCTAAATGGAGCTTCTGACAGATGCATGAAAAACACAGTCGCTTTTATTCTAAACTAATTTCTGGTTAGAAATTTCTAATGAAGGTCATTAGAAAAGAGAAGAAAATTTTGTTTGAAAGCTGACACATTAAGTTTCGAGGTGAGACACATTAAGCTTCGTTTTCAAGCTGTTTTAAAGATAGTTATAATGAAAACTGTAAGCCGTTGGTGGTGAAATGTATTTTCAAAAAATACATTTTGGTTTCAATGTTTCAAAAAATTATTTTCGCAATAGAAGTGTAATTTACTTTCGAGAAGAACTGGAAGGAACTGTAATCGTTTGGTTAACTAGGATCGTTTGCATATTCAGTAGAAAGGCGAATTAGTTTTAGGAAAAAGGAAAATATTAAGTAAAGCTGGGAAGTGTGAACATAAAGTTTATTTCACATTAAATAAATCATTAGAAGCTCTTTCAATGTCAATATTCTAGTAACTTTATAAGGAAAAAAAGGAAGGCAAGAGTTGGTTATCATAATTTTGTTTTCAACGTAATAGCAACATAAGAACTTTCATTAGTATTTTATAACCGTCGTTGAAAAGCCGACCTAATGTTTTGGTTTTACGACTACTAATGTACTAATTGCGACTACTCCGTAGCCTTGTAATTTTGAACCCAATCCAGAAGACAATGGAACTCTTGAATAAAGTATTGGGAGAAATTCGTCTTCGTGGAGCACTTTTTGATGGAACTAACCCACATTTGTGTTACATGGAGAGGAACGCCATGAAAACCTCCCATGGTGAGACCGATAACATGGGGGCTTTAACCCATGATCCGTCTACCACTGAGGATATTTTACGTCAGCATTGCGGTTGGTGCGAGCCGGGTGCGGAATTCGTATCGACCAGCCATCGCTGGGATTCAAACTCAGTTCACCTCATTGGAAGGCGAATGCTCTATCCCCTGAGTCACCACGGCTCTTTCTTTAGTATTATCATTGTCACGAGGTGCTTGCTTAGCTGATGGCATCCTCTTCCCTCCAAGCGTTGTGAGTGTGGAGGTAATAGGTTCGAATCCCACGTTAAGCCTGAATTTATCTTTGTGTTATGTCCTCTAATTTGTGCTACTTGTTCTTAAACTTATCTGGAGTTTATAACCAGTTCTTTGTATACAAATCCGCACATGTATGGGAATGCATAAATAAATAAAAATCGATATCCTAAATTATATCATAACTATTATTATTAAAACATTGATTATTGTTAAAAAATATTCATTTTAAAGTGGGAAAAACTTATTTTAAATTGTGAGGTAATTCATACAATGCATGTTAAAAATTTTTTTTTGTATGCAACATGTCCGCTTCACTTTAAAACATTTTTTAGGTCAGGTAAATTTAATTATAGCGGAATAAACATGAAAGTTAACTGAACAGTTGAATACGTGCATCAATTTTTAATAATATATACAATACAAGTTTCATAATATAAAATAATTAATACAATTGATAATTATTTTTAATGAAGTGAAATATTATTTTCCATGCTGAAATATTGTTTTTAAGTTGAATAATGTAAATTATTGTAGAATAAATAGACACCTAAAATAAATAGAGTAAGAAACAGATACTACTTCAAAGCACAAATCTATAACGGAAATCTATAATTTAAAATGAAAAGCAATTACTACTTGTTCCAAGAATAATTAAATTTAACTAAAAAATAAAATTAATTAACGAGTAAGAATTTCTATTATTGCAATTTTTTACCATTTCTAAAAAAATAAAAATTACAAATTATAGTTCTAAAACATCGTATGTTTCAAACTATAAGACATAGTATAACTTTTTGAATTATTAAAAAAAGAAACTGTATCGATAATAAAACGTTTGGTACTTAAATCATCAAAATTATAGTTCTAAATCATCTTTAGTTTTTTAACTATAAGATTTAGCATAACTTTTCGAATCATTAAAAAAAAAAGAACTGTTTCGATAATAAAATGTTTGGCCCTTACATTGTCAAAATTATAGTTCTAAATTATCTTAAGTTCTAAACTATAAGACGCAGCATAACTTTTCGAATTATTTATTAAAAAAAAAAAACTATCGATAATAAAACGTTTGGTACTTACATCGAAATTGCAGGCTCAAGAGTTGCATTTTTGGAAGCATGTCCGACAGCAGGGGTATTACAGAGTGAAGGGTTATCCGAAGAGCACGTGACGGGAAATTTGAGAGGTTTTTTAAATGCCTACCTCTACCAGAGATGGTGTTGCCTTTACGCGATTACCTCCGACATGCCGGCAAAGAGAGATCATTCCCTCTTTAATTACAGAAAGCAACTATCCCGCTGATAATCGGGCCGTTAGTTTGTTTATTTATTTTTACCTTCCTACTCATTTCAATGCTATATTATGCAGGAATGCAATAACACGTTATCATTTATTTTTATTTTCTTTTAAAAAATGCAAGTCAATTGAATGTATTTAAAAGGTAAGTTAATGAAAATACGTAACAAGTTTTGAGTGAAAAAATTTGAGTTGGTGGCAGATTTAAATATCTTTTTAATTTTACTATATTGCAGAATGAGCTGATTTTGAGTATATGCAGATAAACAGTGATAAGGGGCCGTCCACAAATGATATCACAAAGAGAGGGAAACATAAATTGTGACATCATACAAATTTTTTAGAAACAAAACATTTAAAATTACAGATGAAATATTTTTTATTATTTATTTTGATATTTTACAAGAATTAACAATTACACTCTCAAGTGCCATCAACCAAATTAAATGAGTTCAAAACAGCTGACCATATTTATAGTTTTAAACGCATGGCTTTTTCGAAGATTGTAATCGTTATATGCAACAGCGGCTTAATACTCGTATTTTCAACAAGCAGCCTAATAAAACTAACCTTTTGATTTGAGAATTGAAAGAGATGTATTTAAACAAAGTGTTAAATGAAAGTCGCTGTTAGATATCAAATATTATGGAATATATAAAGACATCCTACGAACCTACAGGTTCTTGGTTCAAATCCTGCCGGCAGTCAACGAACATCACTTTTAACCCTTTCCCTCACATCGCTTTTGAGGCAATGCATTCTGCTCAAAAATAAGTAAATGCTCTTTCAATTTTAAATATGCTAGGTTTTCAAATTTGTTTCGGAGATATTTTGTCACATTTTTGCTCAATTATAAGAAAAACTTTTTTACAGTCCACTTTTTTGAAAGAATTCATAAAATTATTCATAATTATAGCTAAATTCAGTCATAGATACTAGAGTTAAAGCAAATTTCATTCATTTTCAAGTTTGATCAGCATTAGTGAACTGATTATCGGTAATATACTGTTAGTTATCTTAATTTTGTTTTTACAATAATTGTAGCCTTATTTAAAAATAAAAACTTAAAAATGTAGGTAATAAACTTTTATTGAAGTTTGTAATTATAAGTATTTGAACGGTTGAGATATTGCTTCATCAAAAATTCATACTTTAAAGCTTTCGACCATCTAAATAATAAATTTATATCTTTTGAAAAGCTCTTAATATATAGCTCTTATTTAAAAGCTTTTAGCAGTCCAAATAACAAATTCATATTTAAAAAAGCTTGACAGTTAATACTTAAGTAATGAATTCTGTACTTATCTAATAGTTAATTTAAAAAGAAAAAAAAATAAATAAATCCACGGATTGAAAATTTATTAGCATTACTGTATTAAGCATTAAGAAGAATGACAGATACAGTAAAGTTTAATTATTATGAACTATAAGTATCCATTGTTGGTAACAATCTTTAAAAATTTTATCTTTTCTTAAAAAAAGTCGTTCTTATAAAAGCCTATATAAATCGTTAAAAAATACGTTAATTTTTATAAAAATCTAAGTGATATTTTGGTAATCGCTTAGTGATAAAGAGACAAGTATTTAATCTATAAAAAAAATGGTTGATACAATGTTGACATAACTTGTTCATTTTTATCATTTCAAATTCGGCATTTCAAATTCAAAATAAGAATTCGTTTGAGTCCCAAAAACAAACAAATACATAACTAAAATCTTTCTGCCGTTGAAATAAAAAGACATTTTTTAAATTTTTTGCCCAAATTGAACATTTTCTTTAGTGAGATATCTGATATTGATACCCAAAATCATTAAAAAAAGATTAAATGATATAGTTGGCCAAGCATACTATCGTCGAGTATTACCAAAGCATTTAAGTTTAAACAGGATTTTTTTTACTAAACTTCTCGTGTTTCTCAGAAGCTTTTCAATCGATTATTACTTAATTAAAAACTTCATTTCAAAAATATGCAAATTGGAACTAACAATCGACATGTTTCAAGGGCTCAAAAACAGTTTCAAGACTTGTTAGATGTGAATGAGAAGAACAAAGGTGATTTTAAATATAAAGCGTAAAGTTGAAAATGGAAAAATAATGGTGGGAAACAAAACCAGAAAAACTACAGTAGCCGAGAGAGACAAAGAAGATGAAAAACAGAATAAGAAAAATTTGCCCCTCGGCCACTGTATTGTTTCCTGTTCCGTTTCTCATCTTTTTTTCTTTCTTGGTTTCTGCGGTTTTTCTAGTTTTGTTTCTCATTTTTATTTTTCTATTTTTTGCTGGCAACGATACGTTTCATATTTCAGATCACTTATGTTTCTTCACGCCTGTACATTCACGCCTGGCGAGTCTTGAAAATGGGCGCCTTATTTTGAGCAGGACTGTTATTTCTAATTTGTATATTTTTGAAGCGAATGAGGTTTTTAATCATGAAATGTCATACTTACATACATACCGCTTCAGTTGCTTGCAATTATTCATTAAATTTTTAAATCGATTATTCACATTTCTATTCGTGGTTTAAATAGTATTTTACATGGCACTACTTTAATTCTGTTATGTTTATTTTAATGTAGATTTTATGACTGCAATTCGTTTTTAGACCGCCTCTATTTTGTTCCCTTTAAAAATTTTAAATATAAATTTCATTTAAGTAACTAAATTCTCCCTTTCTCATTAAATATACAACCATTATATTTAATTAGATTCACTTTCTTTAAGAATTTCATTTTACTGATATCATCTACATCAGAGACTGTAGTTACATGGTATCATCGTTTTACAAAAACGTCAAAGATGATTAATTTTTATGAACCTTTTTAAAAATATTCTCTAATACAAGTATATCTTAATATCTTAGTGAATTGCAGAAAACTTTCCACATTTCGCATTGTTCTCTAAATAAAAAAGCGATTTCAAAAAGTTTCCTTTTCCCCCCGAGTTACCAATAAGTATCCCTTACATAATAGAATTTATGTGTTAATTTCAAATTTCAACCATGAATCTATTCCTCATATTTATTTTAAAAATCGCAGCCTTAGCTTAAATATATCTGACATATATAGGTACTACTAAAGTAATATATTCCTGGAATATTATTTATAAGTTAATCGAGTCGAAATATAAATATTTATTCGAGTATAAGTCAATCGAGTTTAAAAATAAATATCGAGTTTAAATATAAGTAGTAATATTTTCTGCAAATAAACTAACAATTTTTAAAAGTTTCCTTTTTTCGAGTATCAAATAAATTTTATATACAGATACTTCAATATTATAAGTAGGTAATGGCATATATATTTTAATATAATATTATTTATCGGTAAAGACATATATAGGTACTCCTAAAGTAAAATATTCCAGGAATAACATTAATAAATTAATCGAGTATAAATAAAAATATCGAGTTTCAATATAAATGTATTATAAATATAATATTTTTTTTGAGTGAACTAACAATTTCTTAAAATTTTCTTTTTTTCGAGTTTCAAATAAATTTTATATGCAGGTACTTCAATATTATATGTAGGTAATATCATATATATTTCAATATAATATTATTTATCGGTAAAGACATATATAGGCACTCCTAAAGTAAGATATTCCAGGAATAACATTAATAAATTAATCGAGTATAAATAAAAATATCAAGTTTAAATATAAATGTATTATAAATATAAAAAAAAATTTCTGAATGAACTAACAATTTCTTAACATTTTCCTTTTTTCGAGTTTCAAATAAATATCACTTATATAATAGACTTTTTTCAGATTTTAGTTTTGCATCTGTTACTGATATTTACTTTAAGAATACCAACTTTAGCGCAAACATATCTGACATATATGGGTACTCCTAAAGTAATATATTCCAGGAATAATATTTATAAGCAAATCGAGTTAAAATATAAATATTGGCAGCATCCATTTCAGAAACATGTTTTTCATCAGCAAGATAGAGATGTCACCTACTCTAGACTAATATCGCCGAACAGGAGAGCAACACAAACATAACTTTCAAGTAATATGTCAAGAACATGATACTCCAAAAGTTAATTAAGTAATGAACTAGTTTGTTGGGAGCAGTACTTGAATAATTAATTAATTTTCTTCCTTTTTACAGATCTGAATCTACATGTTACACAAAATTCTAATCGTTTTCTTAGTTGAAATGAAAATTTTTTTTATGTATTTTTTTTTTTTAAGTACAAACAAATATTAATTGAAGTGCAGCGAAATTAGGGGTATAGTAAATGTTGATTCTACGCTGAGAAAAACTGTATGGTCAAAACTACCAGAATATAGTAAAATTTACCGTATTTCTGGTTCAACGGGAACACTAAAAAGTTTGATAATTTTTGCAGAAACGCTTTGGTGATGATGTTTGTAAAATTAAAAATGAAATTGAGTTTTTTAATACGTGATAAAATTTGCTAATTTTACCTTAGAGCAAGGCGTAGAAGTCATTTATACAGTTTAATTTTTTCAGTTTCGTATTTTTTACTTAATGTGGGGTTATAAGAACAATAATTTTCAAAACTAGAATTGCCGGTAAACTGTTACCACATGAATGAAAAAATTACCAAAATGAAGAGTTTAAATACCGTACATTTTGATTTTATCAACCAGAATAATACTTTTCCTTTCAATTTCTTAAAACCTAGAAATGATATTACCATACAGTACAATAATTTTACCAGAATTCTTCCTCCGTGTAGTACATATGATTGATTTGAGAAAGGACTTATGATTAAAAAAATATGGGGTACAAATAAAAAAAAAATTTTATTTTAATATTTATAACTATTTATGTCTTTCGTTAAAGCATGTTTCAGAAGTCAAGTAAGAAGAAATTTTCAAGTAAGAAGAAATAAATCACTGATATTAACTCAAAATTACGATTATTTTTTATTGATTCATAAAGTATACAGCATAGGGTTATAGGGCACATTGAAGAAATGGTTACTATGATTTTGATGACACTTATATG